ATCAAATCTTATTTGTCAATATACAGTGTGTATGATCATTATTTCAAACAATCAAAAAGAAAAAAACTATGTTAAGAAGTGCTCCAAAGCATGAGAGTGAATTATTTTATATTTGCAGCTACATACGCAAAGCTACATGATAGGATTTATTTGACATTTATTTACAATGTAAAACGGTGATTTTGCAAACCAGAAAATTAAGTTCTAGTAATAATATGATAACTGAAACTTTAAATTAATAGTTCTTTTCAAAACATCAACATTCAAATTAACTTGGTGCCTTAAAGTGAAAACTAATACAGTAGATTGTTTTTTTCTGCTTTTTTAAATTACTAACTTCATTTCACTGGCATTTAAAACAAATGCCACTACTTGTTATAAGTATGTTTGAATATTTGCTTCTTTATGCTATGAGCACTTAAGGTTTTACACTCACAAAATTTACTAACATTTTAAAATCCTTTTTAATTGTGAGGACTAAGCCAATTTTATGCAATCAGAGACAAAAATTATGAGACCTGCAGTAATTGGGATTTCTTTTATTTTTACTTGGGCATGAGGAGATTCTACAACTCATAAGGGCTGTTCAGAAGAGGCAGAACCAACTCGATGGCGCTGAGTCTGGGGTTGGTTTAGCATGTTTTACACACCACTAATAGGGATGATCTGTATCTGTGCTACTTCTACTAACACTGAAAGAAATTGTTTTGTTAATCATCTTCTTGGGGGGCTCTTACAAACCTTATAGCAAGCCATCATTCAATTGTATTAAGCACACTTATACACATGTTGCCATCAATGTTTCCAAGTGAAAGAAATTTTAACACAAGAAACGATTCCCATGTGCTTGGTGAATCACTGATAGACATCTTACAAAATGTGTCACCAAAACAGTGTTCCATCCTAAACTTCAGAAACAAACGGAGAAGCGCCTTTTACACAATGGGAAATGAACAGAAAATAAATGTGGCTGAGTCCCAAATGACCAAACCACTCTAGAAACCGACTCTCCCTCACGCTTTCTGCTCTCCAGTCACAAGATCCGCGTCCACACTAGAAATGGTGTTACATGCACTAATGTTTACAACTATAGTCTAGGAGGGATTAGCTGCAGCACCCTCCAGGCTATCAAAATCCACAGTTGTTCAAGTTCCTTCTATAAAATGGCACTGAATCTGCATATAACCTACACATATCCACTCATACATTTTAAATCATCTCTAGTTACTTTTAGTACCTAACCATGCAAATTCTCCGAAAATAGCACTTTATGCTCTCTCTTAGCCTTTAAGGAATTGCTGTGACCACTTAACTGGTTATGGGGTATTTTCCCCCTAGATTAGCTTCAATTCCAGGTTGGTTGAATGCTCACTACTGGAGGACATTGAGGACCAGCTGTACATCCTACAGAAACCCCATTGGTAGGCCTCTGTGAGAGTCATATAGCAGTGTGCACTTGATGAGTATTAGTGGTGATTATTTTTAATGCCAGTAAATTAGAAGTTATATATATTTTTGTAAGTTTTTATGCACAATAAATTTGAACACTTAAATTTGCCATTTTAAATGCACGGTGGTTGTGTAGAGAATGCTATTTAAACATGAAGTATCGAGATATCTGTAGCTTACTTTAAAATGATTAGTGGGGGAAATAGACATAAATGAACACATATAGACACAAAGAGACATAAAGCACATATGGTAAAATGTTCATCACTACTTTATTGATACTTATTTATACTGTTTTGTATATGGAAATCCATTGAAATATTCTTTCAACTTTTCTGTGTTTGAAAAGTTAAAAACATGCTTTAGCATGCTTTTCAAGTAGGATTTTTATACCTTCCCGACTTCACTTTTAAGAACAGAAAAAGGTAATGTCTTTATCCTTTGAAGTGCACAAAATTTCTTATTTTAAAAACATATAAAGTTAAAAAACAAAGCATTTTCTTATAAATTGTTTTTCATCATGTATTGAGTGTTCTACATTTTCAATTTTCTTCACATTAAGTCCTAATGTTTGTCATCTTGGCTATGAATAATTAATATTTCAAGTTAAAATCAGGAAATGTGAATCAAAGAAGATTACTCTGGTCTTTACAAAGTGTATTCTCCTTTCTTTCTCTCTCCACACTTCTCGGGACTTTTGTTCACTGTGACCAGATACCGCTCCCCTCTCTATCCTCCTGAAAATCACCAGGGACCTGTCATGCTTCACAGTTTATTCAGAGCCTGTGGAAACTTAACAGATTTTTTAAAATTTTATCAAGTCACCAACATATACCTGTGTGTCACTGACAAATGGGCACTCTCAGTATGGCTTTATTCTGCAGTGAACCTTGCAAGTTTGCACAGGGCAGTCATACAAAAGCCCCAGTACCACTGTCAGGACATACCCACTTCCTCTAAAACCATCCCCTTCTCCTCCCTGCACGCTTGCAGTTGCTTTATTTAACAAAGCTATGGAATATCTCTCTTCAGTGTTGCTTCTGTTACATACTAAAAACTGATCCCCTCCCCCCCTCCAACAGCTTAAAAAAAAACTTGAACGATAAATTTAACATCAGGCATTTGGTAAAATGAGCTTCTCATAAATGCAGCTTCTACTAAAAGCCATATACTCATTTGTTCAGTGCCTGTTTAAAATCGCTACCTTGGTGACATGAAAATCCCCTCAAAATATATGCTATTAAGGCACTTAAATTTGGAAAACATCTGGCATGTCGAATTATTGGAGAGCTTGTGGTTTTGAAGTACATTGTTTGGGGTGGTGTATTTGGAAAGAATTCACTTATCATTCTGTCTTAGCAGAGAGCTAGCCCTGAAAACAAATGTATGTGGCAGTTTCACTACTCCCATAGAGAATCAATAGCCATCTATTTAATTTGCTAAGACAATGTAAATTAGTAACTTCCTGCCAGATGTGCGATACGCACATCAAACAAACTGCAACCTGTTCATTATGAAAATCCTGTCGACACACACAGAGCCACTTGATGACATTTCGTCTAAGGCAGTCTCCACATTGGCTGCCATAAAAATGGTCCCCAGAATTTTTGTACAAAGCACTGGAGCTGCAGAGTCATAAAGTGATAATCAATTTCAGGTTTTCATCTTGTGGGCTGTGTATACATGCTTCTGCATGTTTATTTCTATTTTCACTTGGCAAAAATGTTCAGGAAAAGGCATACCAGGCTATATTTCCTTTTATAAATCAGTTCTTTATCCTCATTACATCTTTTTAATCTGATGTAAAGCTGGTAGTCTAATTCTGCAGCCCTGAAGAAGTGTGTGAAGTGAAAAATGACAGTCAACAGAGAAAAGAAAGTACACTGATTCACTGGAAGCCAAACAGAATATTTCAAAATGACTCCAAACATAAATTAAGTTTACCCATTGGGAGGTCTAACTTGCATTCTGATCACTTATATGGGTCTGTGTGACTGTCTACCCTGCTGGTTGATAAAAAATGATTACCAACCCCAGGCACCCACCGGAGAACAGTGTGTGTGTGTGTGTGTGTGTGTGTGTGTGTGTGTGTGTGTGTGTGTTGCTTCTGATAGCTCAGACATACAAAGCGCCTTCTTAAAGAATGTCCATTTCCTCTCCATGGTAAGCAGACAGCATTTTTCATCGGAAAATGCTTCTGCTTCACTGCGTGACTTATTTCATGAATTATGCTTTGCCATGTTCTCTTAGGTATGTTTTAAGCATACGACAAACTATGTTTATAAAATAGATGGTTTCTTTCCATGACGCCCAGCACATGGGTGTGCTTTCTCCTCCACCCAAATCCACAACCCTCTTACTTTTACTAAAGTCTAACAGTATTTACTTTAACACTGTTAGCTAAACTAAGGAAAATAAAGGCTCTCCTTATTAATCAGTGATTATTCTTGTATACTGAATCCTCATCTAAACCAAATTCATTTCCTAAGTCTGTGGAATTATATTTTCTTATTAAACAGGGCAAAGAGTATATACTCTTACTGCCAAGTATATTTCCACCTACTACATTTTTAATTTGGCAATTTAGGACACCGAGAAATTAATCTCCTTCTGAGGCACTGAAGCCTAGTAGGATTCCAAAGAGCACCCCTTCACCAACTTCCTAATGCCCAAATAGCCTTTGTACTAAGTGCCTGTTGTGTCCACGCTTCTACAGTATCTCCAGAGGTGCCCTAAAAAGTCACAAGTTTTGCCACCTCTATTTCAAAACAACAACAACAACAACAAAACCCGACAACTGCACACACAAGACTGCTCCGTAAAGGCTTTCCACCTTCAGCGATTCCACTTGCACCAACAGCTCGCAGAACGTGCTATTCTGCACCAGCTACACACCAGACCACGTGATCCGCCTGCAGAGCCACACCGGCGACCAGAGACCATTATCGTTTCCAGAAAGAAAACGACTCCGGTGCAGCTGCGGCAACAGCCGGCCCCGCAGCCGCACCCGCAGGTGGCATCGCGTGGCATCGCGCCGGGCTCCTCTCCGAGCCCAGCGGCCGGCAGCGCGCGCGGAGCCTGGGCGCCGGGCAAGCTGGCAGGAGGAGGCGCTCGGTCCCTCTGCTTTCTGGGGGGTCGAAGTCAGGCCCTCCTGGCCACCTACACCCGCTTTGTGGTTCAGGCAAAGAACCATTCTCTCAGAACTCTGAACTTTGATTGTGGACTCTGGTTAAAATTAAGAACTTCAAACCCCAGATTTGAAAAAGTGAAACAGATGTCCTGTTTGGGAACCATAAATGGCTCCGGACGTCGGATCCTTTCCTCCCCCCTCTTTCCACTCTACCGCCTTGAGTTTTATTCAATGCAGAGTCCGCTCGGACGTGGAAGAGCGAGAGCGAGCAGGGAGCCGAGAGAGTGAGTGTGCGCTCTGGATGCGCAGCTCCTCCACCGTGCTCCAGCAAAGAAGGCGGGCAGCAGCCCCCGGACCAGCGCCCACAGCTTGCCGCTCCGAACGCCCGGCCCGCGGGGCTCGGGACCCGGGCTGCACTCACGTGAGGACGTAGTTGACGCTGACGATGCAGTGCGGCCTGGAGGAGCGGCTGTTGTGCACGATGGTCGCGTAGCTCTGCACCCACACCCAGCCTCCGTGCTTCGCCAGGAACCTGTAGTACTTGGTGGTCACCTGCCCCTTCACCAGCACTGACGGGAAAGCAGAAGGGGGGGTGGGGGGGCTGAGCTAGCGCGGCCCGAGGGCAGGACCCAATATCCAAATCAGCCCGAAGGAGACAGACACCACGGGGAACTTCCCGAACAAAATTGATTGTTCGGTTAATTTGTATCGAAGCGGGCCGGCACAGTCCCCTGGGCGTACGCGCTGGGGCAGCACCTCCCTGGGCTGTGGGCGTCACCTTTAGCAAAGGGCGGGGGAGGGGGGGCTCCTAAAGGTGAGGCTTCATCTCCTTCGGAGACGGCTAGAGAACCACCGAAGGGAGAGAGGGAGGGAGGGAGGAAAGGGGGGAGCAGCAACACTGACGCGCACGCTCCCTTGTCCTGGGAGATTAAGCTCAAAATTGCATCCCAAACCGAGGTGCGTCCTTGTAAACGGAAAAGAGTGGACCCACCTACATTGTTTGCATCTTTGGTGAGGTTTTTGAGGGGGGGGAGGGGGGACTTTCGTGACAGGCCCTGGGATGTTCTAGAAACTTGGTAGCCCTCAGTTCCAAATCACACCCTCCAGGGACCCGCCGCCCCTAGGGTTCCCACCCGCCCGTCTGTCTGGTGGGCTAGAAAAGCGACTCCTGCCCAGGGACCAGGCAGCTGTGTGGCGCTGGGGCAGGGCGGCGTCTTACGCAAGTGGTGCGCACAGCGCAGGTGGAAGGTATCGCAGCCGTGCACGTGGTGGTACAGGGTCTTTTCGATCAGGTCCTGCGGCTCATATCCCGTCAACTCTGCCACCCTGCGAAGAACAATGCCCCGGAGATGAGTGCGGCACAGGCAGTCGGGTTTCTCCGACCACCAAAGTCCCCTCACATACAAAATGGGTTCCTGTGGTCAGCGAGAAATGCCCCATCACTAAAGAGGGCTCTTCTCCCTGCAAAGGCGACCCTTGTCCGTGCCCGCCCACCTGGAGTCCAGGAAGATGAGCTTCATGTCCAGGCTGGCGCGGAACATGAACATGTTGCTGTGCAGCTTGATCTCTGTGACAGCGCTGGGCGGCAGGGAGTGGCCCACGGCCACCAAACCCACGTTCTGGTAGCAGCCGTCGAATGGGGACATGTCCAGGCTGTACTGGCGGATCTTCAGGTAGCCGCTGCAGTGAATGACCTGTAGGGGCAGGGTAAGACTCAGCCATGGCCAGTAAGCCCTCACAAAGTGGGGTGGGGTAGTGGGTGGGGTGGCGAGATTTTATTCAGGGAGTGTGTGAGTACTGTGCAGGCTCCCCTCCGTCTCTAAGTGAACTCTGACAATCCATAGAAGCCACCGACACTTTCCCGACCCTTTAACCCCACCCATGGGCTCCAGGCTGAGAGCCTCCACAATTGAGTACAACAACCCAGTCAGACTGAGCCTTAAAACTCAGTCCCAAGATGATCACAAAGTGGAATAGCCAGCAAGACTCGTTCCCACCAGCAGCATTTTGATGCCTGTGGGTTGGAGGGGGGACACCCGCCCAGCACAGGCGCTGAGATCCCCCACTCAGCTACAGGAGCTGGAGGGACAGCCTCCCAGAGACTTCCAACTTCTGGCTCTACCACGCACCTTGTAGCCACCGCAGGTAAGGCCCGCATTCCTCTTCGCCAATACACACTTCATCCTCAGGAAAAAGGAGCGCTCGATCTCGTACTCTGGCAGAGAGGGACGGAGGAGGGCACAGGATGTGATACAGGCAAGTGGCACAGTGTTGCAGAACCTGGGCAGCTAACAGGGAAGAAGCTAAAAGCAGGCTCCCACTGCCTGGGCCAGAGTGTGGTGGGCATGCATCTGCCCTTACCCTGCACAAAGTGGGAGTGGTAGGGCTGATGGGCTGTGAGCACGGCAGTCATCTCATCGTGGTCAGCCGGGTGGATGTATTCGTAAATACTGTTCCCAGTCAGCTCAACCTGCAAAGAGGAGAGTACCACTGTCCCATGATGGTGGACGACCTCTTCCTGTCAGGAAGGGGGAGCTGGCAGGTTGGGAATCACCTGAATTCTAATTCCAACTCAGCTGCTTGCTACCCACCTCAGCCTCTTTAAACCTCGCCTTCCTTGCTTAAGAAATGAAAGTAATAGTAATAACACTGCAACTCCCTGGTAATGTTACAGTAGATAAAGCATGCCGAGCCTCTCACAGTGCCTAGAGTACAGCACAGATTAAAATAAAAAAATTTTAAGTCCTCATTGAGACCTGGGGTAGAAGTTAAAGGAAGAGGGGCAGTGGTGGGAAGATGCACACTCTTGAAAAAGCTGGAACACCCCCCCACCCTTGTCCACTGAGTTGCTTTCAACCCCAGAAGCAGTGCAAAGCAATCCCCTTGTGCCTCCAGTTGTGCTGTAACTGTGAAAACATCTGGCCGGAAGAAGCTCCCTTCTCCCCCACCTACCTGAGAAAGACCCAGGTGGACGGAGGCTGTCTCGGAGATGTACATGATTTTCCCATCGGGGGCCACCACAAAGATGAAGCCGTCCAGGGTCTGAGGAGGCAGAAACAAAAGAAATGGAGACCTCTGTGGGCTACTCTGGATAAAAGGGGCAGGTGGGCTGAAGAAAGCAAGGTTCTGTTCAAGGGGTAAAGGGCTGGTGGCAAGCACAGGGTATAGAAACACAGCCACAAGGGTCTCCTTTTTGGTTTAGTCCCCAATCCGTGCCTGGGGACATGCAGCACACCAGGAAAAATCTAGAGGAGGTAGAGGACAAGAATACTGCTATCAAAGACTCAGGGTTCACCAGTCATAACATCAGGAAGGGCATGTCTGTAACATACACAAACATGGGGGTGGGGTGAAAATCATGGTCCACAATAAGAGGTAGGTTAGGGTCTTGGGACAGTGGTCACTGAAAGCATCAGAGTTTTTCTGTATTCAACTTAAAGGGCTCCATAACGGTAGCTTCCTAAAGAGTACTGACAGGGTTTGGGAAAGATCCATTGCAGTAGGTCGTTCTGACAGTATGAAAAGTTTGGACACAGGAAAGCTAGCCAATGGCTCTGGAAGGAGTCCAGGAGAGTGGGATTTAGGAAATGAGAGGCTTTACGGGCAGCAAATCCATAGAGGAGTGCTATAGCGTGTGTTTACACTGAGGCTTCAAACTGACAGGCTCTCCTCTCGGAAAAGTATTGGACTTTCACTGTCCCTTTATCTCTGTGAATGAGGCCTCAGTCTATGCAGTAGAGACAAGGATGAGGCAGACTGGGCTCTCAAGGAGCTCAGAGTCCAGTGGGGGTGACTGACCTAAAAACAGATATAATAAACTCACAGCTGAACAGACAATGCTGACTCTTGAATCAAGTGGCCAGGGGGTCCTGGGGGGAGAATGAGAGAGGCTTTGAGGAGAGACCTGAAGAGGAAACTTGGAACAAAGAAGGGCAGAGTGTACCCTACACAGAATACAGAGCACGAACAAAAGCAGGGACGGGGTGGGGTGGGGGGGCTGCTGTAGTCTGGAGTGTACTGACCATGGGGCTTAGGAAGCATGCTGGAGTTGGACTTTAAAAATTGGGGGCTGTCTATATGAGGAAGTTTTAGATACTCAGTGTTCCAAAAGAGGTTTTGAGTCAAGAGAATAGCATGACCACATGTGTGTGTTTTGTTTTGTCTGGGTATGGGTGGTTTTCTTGGCGGAGGGTAGATGGTGACACCGGAAGAAGGACTAGGAATGAGATCAGGGCAGGTTCTCTAGAGCAGAGCTGGTAAAGCCTGAATGTAGGACATCACGGGGAGACAGAAAGGAGAATCTCACTTAAAGATGGCTCTGGCTGTGGAATTCATGCTATTTTGGTGACAGAAAGAGACACTGGGACTGACTTCAAGGCTCTAAGAAGAGCATTGTGCAGATGATATGGCTAACCAAGATTGAAATGTTAAGAAAGCATAGTGAGATTTCATATGATGGGGAGTGGGAGAGCGAGGCACTGTGTTGTTGTTAAAGATTTTCATTTGGAAATGTACACACCTGCCTGCAAATTTCCATTTGGATGTGTACAGCTGACAGTAGGAAGTAAAGATGGAAAGCTCAGGAAAGAGGTCTAGTTTACAGCCACCAGCTGGTGTCCTGCTCATGGGAAGAAGGGAATCCAGGTAGTGGTCCTGACTGAGATCACCCAGGAAGCCATAAAGCTGGGAAAGGAGAAACAGAGCTGGGATTGGGAGAAACACCAGCACGTTGCAGGTTAGCTCGTGGTGGGGGGATCAAAGAGGTGCAACACAGAGTGAGAAAAAGGATGGAGGGAATCAGGAGCTGTTTTAGAAACACAGTGGTGGGGTGGGGGGGAGAGGATCAGCCATATCCCCTCCTCCTAGCCTTAATGTCACCGCATCTTCCTGCGCCATCTTAGAAATCTGCTATTGAGTCTATCTCAACTCACAGGTACCCCATAGGACAGGCCAGAACTGTCTCTGAGCGTTTCCAGGATGGTAACTGGAGAGTAGAAAGCCTCATCTTTCTCCCAGTGGAGCCTGAGAGACTCCAAAATCAGTGAACTGGAGGGAAGAACTGGGACGGTGGGGTGGTGGGAGTGATGGAAAGTGAAAGATGGAAGAGCCACGAGGAGTGAGAGACAGTTTGGTTGTAGATTTTGGTTCCTGTTGATGGGAATGTGGAAAGACTGGGGGGAGGGCCAGAGGTATCTGATGGAAGATGACTTTGAGAGGAAAGGAGACACAGCAAGGTTCTAGGTGCATTCAACGTGTCTGGCCTAGCTGGTGAAAAATTGCTCAGCCGGGGCCTTTCTTTGCCCTGTGAAATTATGTCTATCTCATCTAAGAGGAAGAACAGTAAAGATCAAGACTCTTCTGTCGCTAGAGGCCTAAAGTGCTTGTCCTTGTGCACAAGAAGAGAACCAGCTCAGCTTTCCCCATCGCTGCTCAGGTTCCAGGCTCCTGGGCAAGGAGCTCAATGGGCTTGAATAGTAATAAAGGGGGTGCAGGGTAGGGAACAAGTGTCAAGCCTAAAAATGCCACCGGGAGTTTTACTATTTTAAATATTTGCTCTGCGACTTAAGCGGGCAACGGGCAATTTAAAACGGTGTGCACTGCAAACAACGCGGTAATGGGCGCCTCACATTGGTTAAACTCATTATCTTGGGGTGTATGTGTGTCTGCCAGAATCTGTGCGTGGCCTGGGGACAGCCCTGGCGAGAGGAGAAGGGAAACTCGGGGAGAAGCGGGATCCGGGAACTAGGTCTTTAAAGCACTGCTGGGCATTTTTGCCAGATTCTTGTTATCTCCTCTGTAACTTCTTCACTCCAGGTGGCGCTTCTGCTGTCAGCCTTCGGGATTGGGTCCCGGACGCTTCGGTTTCCTGCTTCAACTGTGTCGGCTGTCTTCCCCTCCCTCCCTCGGTCCAGCAGCCTTAGTGCGGCCTTGACCGCCTCTCTACTATCCTGGTTGTCGCTTTGCTTCCCTCTCAACCTCCCAAAGTGCCATGGCACCGCGAGTGGTTAAGAGGCTAAAAGCTTTCACTGTGGAGGAGGTGTTGGGGCGGGGAGAGGCCCCATTCGAGCTGTCTCCATTTTCTAGCAAAACCAGAAATCCTCTCAGAGCCCAGCACCCGCGCCCTGTACGCACGTGCGACGCCTGAGGGAGGGGGCCCACACTGGTACCTGCAGCAGGTGGGAGCCCAGCTCTCTGCCCACGTTGTCCAGGGGGCTGGTGCGACTCGAATGTCCCCATGCCTCGCCGAGCCCTGGGGAGACACAGAGACGTTGGCAGTGCTGGGACTTGTCCCAGCGATTACGTTTACACACACATATCCGGAGAGAGGATTCCTCCGCTATACTCTCCACGCAAAGCACGATTCAGAGCCCGTACGTTTGTGCTCCATTCGCCCGTTTCTGAAGGACTGAGCAGAGGTTAGAGTCTCCCTCCGCAGGACCTGCTCAGATTCCTCTAGAGCAGTGACCTGGCCAATCGCTTCCCTGGTAGGACACTAATTTGGGGGCTGTCATAGCCTGGTGGGCTCGCCCTCGTCCCCGACACCTCACCTCAGAGGTAACTTTGGGTAGGATCACTACTATGCTTACGGGAATGAGGGAGACCTTATTTCCGCACAAAGTTTCCGCCATCCTCCTTATCCGGAGCCCCAAAATGTCGTCACACCCAGCAAACGCCACCGCCGGCCCTAGGCGTCGGGCCAAGTCCAGCAGACCCATAGCGGACTCATGGATTGGCTGCCGGCCTCTCCAGCCATTCTCCACCACTCCACCTGGGCCTTCTCTCCCCTCCCCTTTGGAAAAATCCGTTGGCGTGAGAATGGCTTCTGGTCCCAGCATTCCTGCGCCGGCCTTCTCTCTCTGTCTTCCGGCTTCCACCTCCTGGCCTTGAATCTGCCCCCATTCCTCTCCCACAAAGAAAGAAGTTGCCCCGTCTTTACAGAAGTTAGTTACATTTAGAGATTGGCCCCCTGTCAGCAGTACTTCGCTCCTTTCTGCAGACAGAGGAGAATTGTTCAGTTTCTTTATCACCCAGGAGTATCACCTACTAACCCAGACAGCCCTTTTCCGTCGTCCTTGATGCCGCCAGGAAAGATCATTGGAGGTTGTGTTTTGAATTCTTTCCCCAGGGATGCCCACAGACTATCCACACTCGAGGTTGACTATTTAAAAATAGTGACAACATATATGCTGCATGTTTAGCACCTGCTGGCAGAAAAGAAATGAAAACACAGGAGAAACTTGCAGGGCTGGAAGTTAAATTATGTATGGGCGAACATCTTTCAACCATGTCGCCGCTGAAATTATTTTACCTAGGCAGTTAAGGCCTTTCATTAAACAAGGTTTCACAGGACCCAAATAACCAGAAAGAGAAGTCTGTCGTGCGTTCGTGAAGGGGCAAATCATCAGAAGTTCAGAATGACAAACACACTTGCTTTGTAATAGGGGGATGGGGTGGGGGCGGGTCTTTCGGAATAAAACGCGAGTCGTCAGGAGCTCTTACAGCAGCGATCAAAACCCACGCAACCGGAGACCGTCAGTGGCCCTTAAGCTCAAATCGGGGGTTTCCAGGTGTTTGCACATCTAAATAAATATAACGATTTCCCACCGCTCTGCAAACACCGAGGCTCCCCGCCTGAGCCCGGCCCCTTCTCCCTCCCTCACCCCTTGTCCTGCCCGCCGGCCTCTTTAGCGGGTCCCTGCTTCGCTCCGCCCAGGGCCTCCTCCGCCGGTCCCGGGGCTGCTCCCCGTGGCCCGTCGCCCCCAAACAGCCCCGAGCACTCGCTCCTTCCCTTGCTACCTTTCCTCCCCGTTTCCGACAAGCGATCCCTCCCCTTGGCTTCGGACCCTTTGGAGACCCATCTCTTGGAAACCCCTCCCCCCACCCCAAGAGTGGCGGCAGCGGGTGGCTGCACAGGTGTGCGGGCCGGAGGCCTGCTGCTGGGGATAGGGACCTGCCGCCACGGCGCCGGTGGCCCAGGGCCCAGTGGAAGCCAGAAGCCTGAAAGGGGAGGCTAGGCGCTCCCACGCTCCCCACTACCACCACCGAAGACAGAGGTCGCTGCGTCTGGGGACAGGTCTCCCAGCAGCGTGTGAAACCTGTGCTAGGAGCGAAACAGTGAAAAAGGAAGCACACACGCCGGTTTGATTGTGAAACGAAGGGGCGGAGAGTTGTTGGCCGATGCGCGGGAGCAGCCTGCCCACCTGAATCCTTTGCCCCCGCCTGACTCGCCCGGCCCGGGGTTAAAAGCGAGCTCGGGACTCCGGCGCCGGCCCGGGCTGTTTGTTGTCTCGGGTTGCGGCCTCATTAGTATGCGGCTACCAGAGAAAATAAGCCTTCCCCGCAGGTTAATAAACAGCCGGTCCAGGCGCAGGTTAACAGGGGCCACGCTCGCCCTCCCCATCCCCTCCCCACCTCTGAAGGAACCTTTTGCTTTCACGGAGCGGTGCTTTCGCTTCGTGTTCCTGGTGGAAACCTCCGTCACACGGTAGTAGCTGGGTTAATGTTTTATGCGAGATTGGCAGCCAAAGCTAGTCTACCTGCAGAGCCTTCCCGACCCCATACCACCGCCAGCCTCGCCCTTCGTGGCGCTAAAGAGGCCTCTCCGAGTCCCGTAAGGGGTTCCCCTCCCGGGAACCCCGGAGTGTGTCGAAGACCCTCTCCCGGAGCCCCCCCCTCCTCGTCTCCAGGCTGCGGTGACGTTCCCGCACTCAATTTCCGTTGGCGAGGGCGTAAGCTGAGATTTCGGTTCTGCACTTGACCTACCGCAGAAAATTCGCAAATCCTTTGATTGTCTGTTTAAAATGAGGAGGAAACCAGCTCCCTTTGCGGCCGGATTACAGTGGGAACAAGATCTAAGGATTCCCTTGTAATTCGGTGATGCTGAGGGAATGGAGGTTTGCAAAGGAGAAAAGGAACGCCATGCGGGAGGCGATAACTAAACCGGGTGTTAGACAAAAGGATTTTCCTCAGCTAAAGTGGCCGGAGACAAAGGAAAACATAATCTATTTTGGAAGATTTCCAAGATATGCCACATTAACTTCAGCAGATATATTTTGCTTCTCTCAGCGCCCTCCCCCTTCCCCCTTAAAGTCTGGTTTACCATATTTACATAAGTAGCATTAGAAGGGATGTATCTATTATGGATCTAAAGGGCTAGCTCACATTTCACGTGAAAACCCGGGCAAGTTTCACCATTGCTTTACCCTCAGTGCGTGGTTGAGCCATTTCCATTTAAATACCCCCTGACCCAAGGATTACCTCAATGGACTGACTGCACGGGTTTTGTAATTTCCTGAAAATGAGATTTCGATTTATAAAACAAGAAACCAATTAGTAACCAAATGAGGCGAAGTAGATCCACTAAAATTGACCTAATCCCACAGGCACCATTTAGGCCCGTTCTTGGCGAATGAATGATGAGCCCCAGTCTAGCGTGAGCTCAAAGTCTCATCCAGCTGTGTTATTGCAGGCAGCAAAAATAAATTGATCGAGCTTTTCCTTCAGAATGAATTGCACACCCTTGACAAAATATAGATTACAGACCAGGCATCGCCTCCTTCACTCAGATAGGAAGAGGAGAAAAAGCAAGCTTGTTCTACTATTCTTTTGTGTGTGTGTTTTAATAAATAACAACTATATTTCAATAGATAGGTGTCTCCTTTGTCGGGTTTTCCTGAACCCTCCTCTCCCAGACTGCGATGTATTTTTAGGCCATAAACTGAGGGGAAGCGGGGAGCGCTGGAAGGAGCTGTTCGAGACCTGACTACAGCTGGGTGGCTGGGTGTGGAGGGTCTTCCGAGATCCTGCTCTCACCACGAGGTCTTCGAAGGGGCTCGATTCAGCCTCTTGGATTTCCCCGCGGGCCTGGGGCTTGAGTGGGGCCCCTGGCCCAGGAGACTAAGCCAAAATGCTGGTATCCTGCAGGCTCCTGTTTCACGGCCGAGCGCACGCCGTTCCATCCTTCCCTGGGGCCCGGCCACCTCCCTGGCCTTACAGCTCCAGCCGCCGTAGCGAGTGGCTTTTGCCTAGGAAGAGAGCGTGCAGCCTGGGCCGCTTTCAGAACGGTTTCTGGGTGAAAGGATGCTTCAGGCACCGCGGTGCACCCGCCCCATCTCCACGAGGTTGTAGCCCGCCCTCCAACCCCTGCGACCCTTTTGGGCCACCCGGCGGGTGTGGCAGAGCTTCGGAGGGCGTTGGCTGCCTTTCTAAGACAGATTTAAGGCCCTCCCAGCTGCCTACACCCCACTCCGCCCAGGTCTCCCCTGTTTTCCTCTAAGAGGGCTTGAGACACAGCGGGACTATGCCCAGGGGACTCACCCATATTAGGGTAAATCTGGTGGAAGCCAACGGGCCCTGGGGAGACTGTCTTCCCTGGCCGGCTTTCCCAGTCTCCGTAGGCGCCCGCCTCCCGGCTGCAATTACTAATGGGCCCGATCCTGCGGGCCAAGCCCAAGGCGGCCTCCAGAGGACGGTTGCGGTCTGAATAACCCATGGGGACACAAATGCACGCGGGATTGTGCATTTTTGTACAAGAGTACGGTGTGTGACGACTGGAAAGATTCAGGGCCGCGTAGCCCGCCTGCGCCGTAGCGATGCTGTGCCGGGGCCAGTGACGGTCCCCGCTTCCCCAGCACTGGGCACCCGCCGGGGTCTCGACTGTCCAACAGAGCCCTCCCCCGCGGGAAGGACTTGCTCAAGTCGGATCTCGGCTGCAGGCTTAGGCGGCCGCCAACTCAAGGGAGGGAGGTCGGACCCGCACTGCGGGGGCCACTGCCGGGGCAGGAGAGGGTGGTCTCCCAGAACCCGGAAGAAGCACCTTAAGGGGACCTTGCCAGGAGGTCCAGGCTAGAGGTGGAGGGCGGAATGGCTCTCGGGCCCGCCGGCGCCGGCGAGCGGAGGTGCACCCATGGCCCGGGCTGGCCGGGCACACGCGCTTCTCCCGCCGGCGAGCTCTGCGCGGAGCGCGGGGCGGCGCGGAGGCCTCGATCCCCTTACGAACTCTGGTCTGGCACCAACTGCAGAGGGCCGCCCTTACCTTAGGGCTACCTGCATTTGCTCCGCAGTTCTCCGCCATTGATCTCGCATTTTCACCACTGCAACCAGCCCATTTCTAAATAATTGAGGATCCCTCCCCCACTCAAAATTGTACGTGCCAAGCACCAAGAACTGACAATGGGTAGCCCATAGAAATCCTGTAGGTGTCCATGGGTCCCTTCCGCATTGTCTTGAGTAATATCCGGTCCAGAAGAGTAGAGAAACTCGGCAAGAATCCACTAGTACCTAGCTTTCACTACGTATGGGGTCCTAGTCCGTTCACATTCGTGTGTGCAAAGGCTCAAAGCTATCAAGCGGGATTTTCCAGAACAGAAAAACCACTCGCCTAGAAATCACACCCAGCCTTCGGGTGGGCGGTTTGTAGGCTGACCTCGTGTGCACGGTGCTGTTTTTGTTATTGTTTTTATTAGTGAGCCCTCCCTTTCAAGAGAAGAAGTTTCTTCCATTGATCTGTTCTACAATTTCGGGCACATAAATCTGCCTTGCAAATGCTGTGCACTGAGTTAGTTCTGCACGCTACATTATAAGTCAACATCAAAACTGAAATTGAACAGAGAAAACCAGCGTGGAGCGTAAACTGTGTTGAAAGGCTTTTAAATGAGAAAAACTTCTGTAAAAAACTAAACATTGAAACCCAATGCTCAATCATTTCCCTGAACAGCAAGAAAAACAGCTTTAAATCACCATCCACGTGGGAAACGGGGCCTCTTTCTCTCTTTCACTTCTTGGCCTCACACACAAAAAAATGCCATTAAAAATTTCACTCTTGAGGTGAAGATTGTAGAAAGTTGCTGTGGAGGTTGGTTTAAGCACTGTAGGCAATCCCTCCAGCCTTTGGAGAGGCTCTCTTTCTTAAGCAGTTACTTATTAATTTCAATTTTGTAAATTTTTATTTCCTCAAGACAGGTTGACAATGCAATGGTAGTGTGATGCTCGCCAGTTTTTGAAGCAGTAGATCTGAAGACATGCTTGATTCTTTCAAAGGCCATTCTGCCAACTACTATGTCTTCAGTCAAAATTTCATTATAGCTAGATATCAAATATATATTTCTTTTTAAATTTGTTTCACATTGCACATGAAGTCACATCACCTCTTCCTTTTTATTCCTACCTTTCTGGATGTGATAACTTCAAATAATCATGTCATTTCTAGGTGCCACAACATTTTCTTTGCCAGGAAATTTTAGAATTGAATACTGCCACTTGGGAGAAGTGAAATTTTAATTACTCCATACTAATGTTCCTTAGTTGATTTCTTAAAGCTATGAAATATTCAAATCGAATGCTTCATTCCTAACACTTTCCTCTCTCTCTCTCTCTCTCCCATTTTCCCCAACAGCTTGATTGTAGTTTGTGTACACCAGTAAATAAAATCTGAAACTTGTGTCCAGATAAGGAAGGATTCTATTGGGTCCAAGGGGAAGTTGGTGGAGATATATCCAGCACCATGCATAGTAGGGAATGAGAAAAAAATTATTAGGAGATATTTTTCATTTTTCAAACAAGTATGGAATGGGTAGCTTCTTTTTGTTCATCAACTTACTAGTCTTTACTAGTTTTTATGGGACAGATAGATGAACAGTGATCTGAGCCAAAACAATGAAGTTTTGCAGTCATTGCTGTGTCTTTAGCTAAGACGTTGAAGTGACACCAGATTTTTAGTTACTATGCTTTATGTCCAACTCACTGCACCTAGGGAGGCAGAGATAAGCTACATGTGATCTGGTGCTAACTACATTAATGACATACCATGTAACTGTTTACCCCAACCTTCAAATGTTGTTGAAGGCCTACTCTGTGCTCAGATGGCTTCAGGATGGATGTGAAAATAAATTTCGTTTGCATGCTCTTTTCATTTCTCATTACTTAAGGTGAATCCCAAGAAAGGTCTCAGTTTCTCCCACTACTATGTCCCACAATCCCGACCACTCTCTGACTTCCCTAAACCCAAAGTTAGCACCCCCTGCAGGTTGCACCCTGTTCTTTCTCAGGCTTCTGACTCACTCCTTTGAAGGTTGTGCTTTCGCTTTGTTTGTTTTTGTTGTTCTTTCGTAATGTGAATGAGCTTGCTTGGATTTGGAGTTTTGGAAGCCCAGGCACCCTCAGCATGAAAACCTCATCCCCAGGAGCCAGATGTCTGGACGCTCCTGTCTAACTCACCGGCTGGAGACCTCGGATGAGTTATGAGCACAACGGTAGCTGCAGAAATAAATGGTGTGCCCAGAGATTGCATAAACTCCCCATAAACTCACACCGGCCCACAGAAGGGAGAGGGGGGAGGGGTGGGGGCAGGAAGGTGAGGGGAGCTACAGAAAGCACAGTCGCTGTTCAAGTAACCAGAGAGGAATCTGCTGCTCTGCTGAGAGACTCCAGTGGGCTTCTTCACCACAGGTCGCTTTAAAAAATGAAAAATTAAAAATCCTGTAAAGTTGGCAATAAGAGTTTGTTGTTTGTCCCTCCTACTTATCGCGATTAAAAAAATTGTTAACTTGGAGTTTAATCAGACAAGAATGTTTGGTCTCTTAAAAAAAAAAATCCTCCACCACCACCAGCAGCTGGGGCCCCTGCGGGCCACGCCTGCTAGGGTCTTTGAGTTCCACTCTGCACCCGCCGACTACTTATTCTAGTCCTGCGATTACTCGCAGCCCCACCAGCGGCACCATATGCTTCTTCTGATCAAACAGCGAGAGACATCGGCACCGATAATTGATGAGACCTACTAGAAATCACGCAGAAAGGGAGCCCACTGAGACCGCAGGGGCTGACAAATCACTGCTAATAATCCTGTTAGGAACCGCGCGGCCAGCCGAGTTCGCGATCGCTTTATTTTTATAAAGTAGGCGCTGACAGTATAAAAGACAACGAAATCTCTTTTTTAAACAGAAGGCAGTGTGCACAATGGTAATTTCCCCACCCTCAATTCCTAGCACAGTTTGAATGGAAGGCTGGTTTTACATATATGTCTCCAGGCTCTCTTTTTCTTTCTTTCTTTCCCCTTTCTTTTTTTTCTGAACTTTTCAGGTACTTTACGCTTTGCTTCCCTCTCCTCTTGTGCTCTCCATGGCCAGAGGAGGCGAATGCTCCAGGAACAGCTTCAAGACCAAAGACAGAAGGAACTATGCAACTACTTAAAGCAGGACTGAACTACGGTGTGAATGCTGGCCTTCAGGACTCCGACCACTTTGCTAGCTTTTGACTCAGAGAATCACTTTCCATCAAGAGGCAGCAAAGTGAAACTCTCAACCCAGTAAGGGACCATTCCCCCCCCCCTTAAAAAGAAAACAACAAATCCCAAACATCCTCAAATCAACAGCAACAATGTGAACCTGTACTGGTCAAAGATGCAATTCTGGTTCGGCAATAAACAGGATTTATACTCTGGGCTTTTTGTTGTATAGCACCTTTCCCTTCATACTTCTGATCCCTCCTCTCTCCCAGTAAAAACAAATCTAAAATACTACTTTAAAAAAATCTGTTTATGTCATTAGGAGGAGGGTAAAGGAAAGGACGAGGACCGGACAGGGAAATGGCATCGGAAGTCTCCTTTCCTAGCGAGTATAAATGGCTTCTTACATGACCGTGTTGTAGAAGGCAGCTCTGTCCTCCACACAGTGAATCCTGATCATCCAAATACAGCTTTTAAATCATGTCAGCAGCTTAGCAGTTCTAACTTGTAGGTCTAGACAATTCTAGACCATCACCCAGATGATATTTCCTGAGCAGGCTAGTAATCATAATTTCATCTCCTGAATTTGGGGATGAATCTATTACATCAGAAATAATAACAAGCAAATCACCAAGCTCCAAAGTTCGTTCCAGGACCTCTGAACATCTTGAACCGCAAGAACGGATTTGCTATAAACAGTCAAGAGGATAAATTCAGGACATGCTCACTCACAAATATGCCTGCTCCCTTCCCATGTACAGAACTCTAGAGAAATCATTTAGCTCTGCTAGCTCCAAGCCTGTAGGTCTAGCGATACCTAGCAAAGCCCATGAATTTGGCAGTGCTCCTGCTTCCTACTGGATACAATTCTAACAAGAGGAATAAAAAAGAAAGTCATGTTTGGATTAGTAGTACTTTCAATTGAGTCCAGTATCTGAAGTGTTGACAAAAGCGCTGCTGGGCTGCTTCCCAACCAAACATATCTGATGGACTGAAGAGAAAGAATTTATGGGGAAGTCGGAGGAGTCACGAAAAGGCAACACAGTCTCTGAGTTCAGGGAGGTCCTTAGACCAGCAGCCAGGCTGCACTTCCCTTCCCTTCTGCAGAAAGAATGGATGCAACTAAGTACCTACTGCTCTGCCCTCCGGTCTAGTTTCACTACCTGGCAAACCCAATGCCCCCTGCCTTTGAAATTCCATCCGGGCAAAATCACTTACCTTCTGGGAACACCACTCTCATTTTGAGATAGCTGGTGGTGAGTCTGATTATGGATGCTTTGTCCAGCTGCGAGGTGATAGCCGAGGGCAAAGGCAGTAATTTAGCCAGTTCATAAAATTCACTGTTTTCCTTCTCCCTTCTAGTCCGGGCAGCATTTTTGGACTTCTCTTTCATTGTGTCTCGTTGTTCCCCCTTTCTTCTTGCAACGTAAGCTCCACAGATTCATCCAAAACCAGAAATAAACGTTCAATTACAGGTCATCTTTGACAAAACAGAAAGCATGCTTTGAATGGAGAGGCGGATGTCTTTGCCAGGGGCAAGAATGTACGGATGGCAGTAAAAGACCAGAGCTGTGAAAGGAAACTATTTTCTTGGGAAAACGCGGAATGAGAGAGGACTGGGAAGTCGCTGGTCCAAGGCAGTTGGGGCAATCCTCGGAGGGGTGGGGGGTGAGGCTGGAAGGGGGGTTCTGGGTATCAAATGACGGCCGGAGCCTTGAGGAGCCAGCCTTTTCTTCGGTCTCGAGCCGCGAACCCCGGTCTTCGGAAAATCCACATAATAACCCCAGACGTCTGCGCCTCAGTCCCGCGGTATCAGGGCCCGCTTGGAGCCCCTTGCGGGAGAGAGGAATCCCGGTGAACTTCCTTCAGGCCACTGTGAAGACAACAGCGTCAGAGCGTCAGAGGTCGCCCGCAGCAGTCACTCCCACCCTCGCCCGCAGCAACCGCGCTGCAAAGAGCCACTAGCTGCGCCTCCGCTTTCCTCCCCCAGACTCCGAGGGGTTTTCGTTTTTTTAAGAAACAGGGAAATCCGCCGTCGAGACAGCCCCGGACAAACGAGGCTCGCATTCCCTCCACCGAGCTAGCCCGTGCTCCAGCCCCCTGGGAAGTCGCCCAAACACCCCGGAGCGGGTTCGGGAAGACCTTCGCTCACGCGGCGGATCCACCCCAGTG